TACCGGAAAGTTCTGTCCGTTTTTGAATTGAAATATAACACAATTTTCATACATTTAATAATATTTATTGTAGAATATACTTTCCATCGTTACTTATGACATCTTGCCAGCGTGATGGCAACTTGTAAATGCCATTTTTAAAAAATGATTTATTTTTAGAGGCGAAGAACTCAACTAGTGCTTGGTCGACATCAGCTTCAGTTTTGAATTTTTTTTCCTGTAAAAAGTTTTGCAAAGAGAGAAACAAGTGATAATCGGAGGGTGCTAGGTCTGGGGAGTATGGCGGATGCGACAGAATTTCCCAGCCTAGCTCTGCGATTTTCTGACGAGTCGCCAAAGCAGCATATGGTCTGGCATTATCATCGGTAGCCATGTTTTCACGATCGCGTCTCACTTAATAATGACATGAGACATCTTTGTTTCAGTTTATTTAGGAGAGTACATGTGTGTAAATGCAATGATAAAGAGAGATAGTCATATATGTCTCAAATCAACATGTGCATATGGATTGAAATTTGAAGTGACACTATCGGACAGAACTTTCCGGTAGACCTAATATTTGGATACTTATTATTATTATTATTAACCCTTTGCACTCGAGCGACGGTGACTCTGAGACACCGCTAAACTTGTTACACCATGTTCCAAGATAATTTTTATACTGTCAAAGCTTAGATATAAAAAGAATTGTTAAAAGTCTAACTGTTGTACGAGTCACAAAACTCGATTTCGCTTTGTCATATAAAATGGAAACACTACAAGACAGAAAAGTTGATTGAAATTTACAGTTAAAATAGCTTCGAGTGCAAAGGGTTAATATCTTTGTCTCAGCCTTGAAATTTGCACTCGGTTTGGAATTCTCTTGTGCGTATCTATCTCATCTTACGAATTCTTTCTTTTCATCCACTTCTTCTCATTGTCAGCAATTAAAACTTGAAGCCTTATTTACTAGATTGTATTATATTTTATTATTTGAACATTTATGAACTTTGCTATGAAGCACGAAATCGATAATTATTTAATTGGAAACTGTCCAATGAAATTGTGCCCAACGTTTTTGTTTCTGAAGAACGTATACAGTTAATATGAGAGTATTGAAATTATGTTTAATGTTGTCGTATGTGTATAGAAGTTGCTATAATTATAGTTGAATTAGATCGAACATTTTAAATGTACAAACAACATTTGTTTTTTTGCGATTTATTTAGATAATACTCTTGTAGTTCTTATCTTATATTTTTTAATTATTTTTGCACGCAGAATATTATGCGATCTGAAATGATCAAGATGAGACTATTGCGGATATGAAATTGTCAAGGCTATTAAATACTCTTCAGTGTTTTAGATATATTAGAAATTTTGTCTTCTGTTTAATAATTCGTGTAATCCCTGTCATGACATTTCCGAGTAGAAGTAAAATTAATTATCGCGGTGCATCCATTAAATTTATCTTAATTAATTGTGAATCATAAAACTGCGTCCAATTTAGCGATGCATCTTTGAGAAGAAAATATATATGCAAAATTATTTCCTTTCCATATTCCCATTTGAATAATTGCATTTCACTAATTAATATATGGAGTGTGTTATGCAATTGGGCCTGGTTATACCTCGAATTCGGTAAGAGACGGAAAATAATGTGGACCGAAAAGTTCAATGATTTCGTAGTGGCTATTTTGCAATTGCTGCATTTTATAGTTGCAAGAATGCAATCGATAGAACGCAAATGCACCTTTTGCAAATGAAATTGTATATTTTAGTTTACCTGTGTCTATCAGCAACGTTTAAAGATCCATTTTATGAGCCGTCTCGCATTTTTTTATCGCCAATTTATGTGTTAACAATATGTTAATACGTTAACTCATAAACGGCTTCTATGCATTTTCCAAATTGCTAGTAATTTTTTATGCCAATAATTTTTCTTCCACAGTTGCTTCTATTTGAATTTGAGATATACGATGTGGCTTCTACATAATTTGTTACTTACCGAATTCGAGATATATGCAAACTTTATACTAAACGTTCGTATTTGATGCTAATTCGTTCGCATGCGATTTGCAGTATATTTGTTGTTACGCTAATCGCGAACGAAATCAAAATTTCGATACCGCGAAAATGTTTTGTGATTTATGCTTAAACATAGCGAAAATGGTGGATCGGTATGAAAATTCATTTAACGAAGATAAATGTGCCACCTGGACGGTGGGGCTAATTTTATAGTGACATAAACTCCGTATACGAATGAAATTAGTTATCCTCAATGTTCTCCTAAAGACTTTAATCGTGGAAGTTAGGATTACTGTACCGTAAACGTTCAGACGAGCAGCATGAGTGGCTTTCCCGGCCCTGTTTTCGGCGGTGCAAGAATATTCGCCGCCGTCCTCCACCATCGCGTGGCTGATATTGACGTGGGATATCACGTCCCCGTGGACTGTCACGTATTGACCTATGACGTACCTGTGAACATGCAGCAGAAACTTTTTGTAATTCGATTGAAAGTTACTTTTTGTATTTCCAACGTTTTCCGCAATAGAGCACTGTTACAGTCGCGTCGGAAAGTATCAAACTTGTCTCTTGAAACGTCCACTTCGGAACGTCTTTAGAACGTCTTAAAGACGTCTCGTTTCAGATGTCGAAACGACGTCTGGCCCGGGGCGTCTTTTTAAATGTCTTAAAGTTCAATATTATTAGTTTAAATAATTTATTTAAATTTGTTCAAATAACGAATAATTAGTTTTATTGTTCGCTTAAACGTCCAAATAAGAAATATATATTTATTTAAATATTGCCCAACACTGGATATAGAAACTGAGTAGAAATCTATTTCATTCATTGATAATATTAATAAGTTGAAAACTTACGGATGAAATTCAAAAATTTATCTAGTTCAAAAATATTAATGTTGTATTTTTAAGGGCGTATTTTTGCGACTGAATTTTTAATCGCGAGCATCGAGTTCGCTAGCGTTCATCAATCAATGCACAAATCTCCCCCCATGTTATAAAATAACGGAAGTTTTCACATTTTTGTTCATCTTCACGCACTGCGAGCAAATAACTTTCCACCTGTGGTCGTAAAAAGAATTTTTAATTACGTAGCAGCGATGCAATATCGTCGTTCCACTAAAATAGCACGATTAAAATGGAAAATATTTTTCGATTTTGCTCGGGGGCACGCGCAAACACGGTCGAGGCAATGTTCACTCCAGAATAGGATGGAAGTAAATCACCATTCGACTGCGGATCTTTATGTAATCGTGTATTTTCATACTCAATTTAACGAGAACTAAAATAAAAGAGTAATTCCTTAACTCCTAATTTTACGAAAACTAATTCCATTCTTCGACTAAAAGATTCCATATAGTGAAAATTAAATGAAAATATTATTAATTTTTATCGGTACTAATTTTACGAAGACTAAAGTAAAAGAGAGATTGCTTCGTTTGACTAAAAGATTCCTTGTAATGAAAATCAAATAAAAATATTATTAAATTTTGTTGGCACACATGATTTCTCGTATTTTGGAAATTTGCACATGCAATAAATGTACAAAGATCCGCGATCCGATTGTCATAGAGACAAAAGTAGAATCTTGGCAATTATTTTTCAAAAGTTACAAGATCGCAGATTTTCTTACTAGTTTATGTTCGATGTGTACGAGCAACGTAAAAATTCAGAGGGGTTTAATCGTGTTCTGGATAATGTTTCTTTTTAGTACTCCATTTGTGGTGTCGCATAAATGCAACTTGCCTTCCATTCGTTGGCAAGGGAAAACCATCCAAGGCCCAAGTGACTTGCGGCGTTGGGTTTCCTGCCGCGGAACATTTCATGGATACCGCCGGTCCCGGTTGCATTGTTTGCGAGATGAACGAGTGCAACAGCATCGGTGGCGCATCTGAAACAATAAAAAAAGGCACACGTAAATAAAATTTGAACAAGCACCTCTGAGTTCGCTGATTAAACTAACGGTGACTGTAAAAGACAATGAAAATTGCATTTTCCGAGTGCAAAAGACAAAGGGCAAAATTTTTAATTGAAAAATAGTAATAAATACATATATCGTCATTAGGGAACTACGAATTTGATATACGTAACTCTCCGAGTATTTTACTTAATTTCGAAAGTATAACTTTAAGCATCTGTGTATTTAATTATTTTTGAGAAACGGCGAGTGTATGCGATAGAATTATAACAAAATAATAAGAGTAATGTATGCACTGGGAAAATGTAATAAATAGTTGGTGAACATTTTCCCGTGCATCGTTACCAATGCGTAAAGTCTATCCGAGATCATAAACTTTTGTCCGCAACTGTAGATGCTCGGAATGCCACGGTTCTTTATGCTAATTTTTAATGCCATGGATGGTATTATAAAAACCGGGATAAGAAAAAATTTATTTCGTTGGCTAAGAGATTTTTTATAACAAAGAAAACTTATCAATGTTCTCAATTTTCATTAATCCCGCAAAATATTTAATGAAAACTTGATGCTACAGATAATCATCGATGTTTAAAATGTTTTACCTATTAACGTAGACGGGGTAAATATTTTCTCTTTTTAAAAAGTCTAATGGATAGAATAGTAAAGTAAAGTAAAGCCAACAGATTTTCTGACATTTGGTTTTCCCTTTTGGACGCGAAGGGATTGAGGTCAACTCGAGAAGGATTAATTTTCTGCCCGCGTAAGTGTATAAATAAAATAATAAAAATTGTTTAATGTTATTTAAATGAAATACGACGAATGTAAAATATAAATTCAACGCGAAAGTATCTATCTTTAAAAAGTTAATCGTACCGATTAATATTCGGATGAATTGAATTTTGTGGACATTGGACTACCCTCTCCTAAGCATATTAGATGCTCGAGTCCATTTTGACCCAGAGTATAAGTATCGTTATCCGATGACCTACTTTCTCGCATTGAATTTAGATTTTCACATGTTTCATTAAGATTTACGGAAAAGCTAACGTGTCTGGAACGATCACCTTAAAAAGTACGTTGGCAAAATTGATAAATAAAATTACGAACGATCCTAAACATACCCGGTTGTATTTCCGTCAAAAAAGTCCGCCATTTGATTGTTAATGTAAACTTAAATAACACAAGCCAATGGGCTTTATAAATACAACGAATTACTTTCTGTATTCGTAGATCGACGAGCGGACATAAATCCGGTAAAGAGATTTCAAAATTTGCGCGAAGCTAAAAAGGAACGAACAGGAAACGAGAGCGTAAAGAAAAGGGGTGATACAACACGATTCGAGTCTGCACGAGAAAGGCTCCGAAACATTTTTCGTTGAGTAAGCACACACGTATCCCCGCTTTTCGATTATTTTTACGGGTACACGGCGCCATGAAACAGTAAAAAATCGGAGGCTTCAAACAGGCTGCACGTTCCTCCTCGACGCACACTCTTTCGCGAGCCCATTTCTCATCCGACACTTCCGCGAGCGGCTGTACACGCGACTTCAAAGAATCATCGGAATCACGGGTGCTCGAGAACAGCGGCTGGAAAAATATCGGAAGAAAAACGACGAGGAGAGCGAGCGAGCGAGAGAGCGAGAGAGAGAGAGAGAGTGAAAGAGAAAGCAGAGAAGGGACAAATCCTTTTTAACGCCGGAACCTCCACGCTCGGCTGAAGTCTCGATCAGCCGAGTAGTCGTGTTCTATTCGACCTGGTGTTGAAAGGAATAGAAAAAGGCGAAGTCGATGAAGAGAAGCAGGAGGAGGAGGACGAGGTAAAGAGAAAAACCTGAAGAAGCAATATAGAAAGAGAGAGAGAGAGAGAGAGAGAGAGAGAGAGAGAGGGGGGGGGAAAGAGAAGACGAGGAGCTAGGTGATCAATCCGGGATACTCGCGCAGGTACAATGACCGCGGCGCAATCGAATCCATCTCGTTAAAAACGATACGTTGCGCCGTGACGGGCGGAATATCAACGAAAGTAGAAGAGCCAGATGGTTGGCGACGAAGAAAGAGGCTCGCGAGGCAAGAGCGTGAAAGACCGCCCGGAGATTCTTGATTCTGAAAGCCGCCACGGCTGCCGCGCATCGCGATAGAAAACGAAAGACAATGGGCTCGCTGCGACGGAAGCGCGGTGAATATTTTTTCTCTCTCGATGTTTCTATCTCGACAACATGGCGAAGGGAACGAACCACGGGGGCTTCGAACGTTCGCGCGAGGCGGGGCCAAGGGGAGCAGGGTCGGCCGAGAAGAAAGAAGGAAAAACCGTGGGACGGCGGGAACGAGAGTCCAAGATCGAAGCTTCCTCCGACGCGGTGGGACGAGAGGCTCTGCAAGGACGAGGGACTCTTCATAATTAAAAGTGTCGATTTCGTCGTCATTAAAAATGCTCGGGCGTCGCGTTACAAAGAACAGTTCCGTCGTTTAGAAGCGGAGAGTGCCAGACGGAGAGGAGGCGGTAGCTCGAGTACTTTCTCTCTCTCTTGCTCTCTCTTTTTATCTCCGTCTCTCTCGGTTTCCCTAGGCGAGGGCAGAGACAGTCTTCGCAGATGGTGCTCACGGATCCATGAGGAGATTGATGAACCTCGTCTCGATGCCTCCGAGCGATCATCGATACGTGTCCGCGGGACCGCGAAAGCTCGTCCTCGGACTTCAATGAAACCGATACGCTGCCGGTGTCTGCTCTGCAATGAAGAACCTAGGAATCGGACGCATCCGAGCGAACGTGCGAATTTCTTCTCCATCTGGACTAAAGAATGGAGCTTTTGGTGTTTTAGGAGACTCCGAGTCTCGCTATCGGCGGACGAATTGTTGGTTCGAGATTAAAATGTGTCGTTTTAGAGAAGTATCAATCTTTTGCAGTCGAGTGGTGATTCTGATAATAACCAATACCAATAATATAATTGTTCCGTCACATTACAAAATAATTTTGATATCGTCAAAATTGTTTATATTCGTAAAACTGTTGATACTGTAACTGTTGTACGAGTTACAAGACTCTGTTTCATGCGATTAAAATGCACCGAGTCGTTTGATACGGGAATAACGCAGATCAGAAAAACTATTTTGAATTTACAGTTAAAATGATTTCGAGTATAAAGGGTCAACATTGCATTACCCGGGTAGTAAAAGTAACTGGCACGTGTTGTTTTATAACGACGACAAGACTGAATTTATTTAGAGTTCTCACTATTTTTATTACAACGGATGCTTGAATTATTCCGCGATCACAACTTGTTCACCTATTTTGTCGTTCTTAATTAAAACGACTCATCTACTAATTTGTCACTTTTCAGGATATTTTAAAATATTGGAACATCACGTGCTTTTCACCTTTCAAGCGAAGCTAAAATATTTTATACACATCGTAGAGTTCCAAGTGTAATTATTCCGATTTATTACAAATATAATAAGAATTCTAGGATTGTACGAAAAGTATTCGATCAAATAAATCCAGCGTCTGTCGTTATTAACTATTCGTGTATTTCATACGAAAAATGTTTGCATTAACCAATTACATCGAATGTAAAACTAAATGATGTTATATATGTAAAGAAAATATTAATATAAAAGTGAATACGTAAGACACAGAATAAGAACATTCCATGCAATTATCCTCGATGGTTTAAAATAATTCTTTTGGCAACGTCCGATGTTCAACGTTTGCAACACTGAAAAGTATTCGAACGATTTGTCATGCTGTCTAAATTTGTTCACAATTTTCGCACGGCGTTAAAGATGCTCGATAAAAAAGACAAAAGTTACCATCGCTTTATTAACTCGTACATAGAAATAATTCTTTCCAGAATCATTCACGGTTTAGATCGAACGTATTCTGGCGGGGGTAACACGAGTAAAACTCGACCAACGAAAAGTATCCACGAACTAGCGAAGAATACACGTTATTGTAAAGTAAAGTTTTCATTAAGGTCTGCAATTAACTTATGTACTCCAGTTTTACGGCCGGCGAGTCTACCGTTTAAAAGTCTTGTTAGAAAGTCGCATTAAAAAGTCCGGGCTACCAATTTCGGCGAAATATTAAAAAATTTCGCATGAGCGTTCCAGAACCTCCGGCGGCCCGATGTATATTCTCAAAAACGTGAATCTTCATTCGTCGGCAAAATACGAGGCAGGTGGGCGTACCCGCGTTCACGGGGAAAGGAAAATTTCATAACGCACCGTGCCCCATAATTTCCACGGCAACGTAATATTCACCGCTCGCCTTCCCGTGCTTTTAATATACGCAAATTCGTGAATGCGTTTTTTTTCCCGACCAGCCAGTCTTTTCGCGATCGCGTGAAACGGGGCAAATTAAAAGATCCCAGGCACCCCGTCGGAGAAACGTCGTTTCAAGGACGTCGGTGGTCGAATAGGCAGCTGGACTATTTTCGCGTTGCCTCGGCGCACATTGGCCAATGTTACCTCCATTTTGACGGACCAACTTTCCGAAGACCACGGCCGCGGCGCCGAGATTGTGTAAATACGCTCCGACTCTGTTGGAATATGTTTAGTAAGAAGAAATAATGTTTACTCTGTTAACCACGAGCCAACTTGTCAGTAGTGGTCGTCGATATCTCCGATGGTTAAATATTGAATTCACCGACCTTTGTCGGCGAACATTAAATATGCATGCCAAATATTCAACTGTCAATGAAATTATAGAGATTGCGTAAAACATTTCCATGCGCTGTGTTACCCGAACATTTAGAGCACATTATCATAACGTAAATGTGCAGGTGCTTGAGAAACTTAACAGTCTCTTCTTTTTTACATTTTATAATCCATATCGCGGACCGCGTTATAACGAATTATTTTTCGAGGGGACGCTTCGGTTTTTGCGATACGAAATTGTTTCCAATCTTCGGTCAGGATAAGATACCGAAAAGTGTCACGAAAACTAAGAACTTTTTACACTTTTTATTTTCAAATTGACG